AAAAAAAAGAAAAGAAAAGAAAGTGGAAATAAAAGACATGGGAATGACTGGAAAGGTTTTTTGTTTCTTTTAAAGACAATATAATAAAAATTAACCACATTTCAAAGAACTCTATAGAGAACCAGGAAGTCACAAAATATTTTGGTCCTTTTTTGGTTTAATCTCAAGTCATTCCTCTGTGCAATCAAAAAAGGGAACCCCCTTTTTTCCCCCAAGATAGAGTCTCACTCTTGTTGCCCAGGGTGGAGTGCAGTGGTGCGATCTTGGCTCACTGCGACCTCTGCCTCCTGGGTTCAAGTGATTCTCCTGTCTCAGCCTTCCAAGTAGCTGGAATTACAGGCGTATGCCACCACACCCGGCTAAAATTTGTATTTTTAGGATACAGGGTTTAACCATGTTGGCAAGGCTGGTCTCAAACTCCTAACCTTGTGATCCACCTACCTTGGCCCCCAAAGTTCTGGGATTACAGGCATTAAGCCATGCAGTCGGCCCCCATTTTCCCTTTTATAAGGTACCACCACAGACCTTACTGCTCACATTGCAGATATCTTAAAAGCAATAAAAACAAAGGCCTTTTCAATGACAGACCAATCCTTGACACCTGGATTGATACAATGCTCCCTTATTCTAATTCCCATAGGTGATTCAGTAGGATAGGCTGATGGTCAATGATCAACTAACACAAGTTATTGATAATATACATATTTGCCCTGATTTACTCTTGTTTTTTTTTTTTTTTTTTGAGATGGAGTCCCACTCTGATGCTCAGGCTGGAGTGCAGTGGTGCAATCTTGGCTCACTGCAACATCCACCTCCTGGGTTTGAGTGACTCTCCTGTCTCAGCCTCCCAAGTAGCTATGACTATAGGCGCACACCACCATGCCCAGCTAGTTTTTAAAATATCTTTTAGTAGAGATGGGGTTTCACCATGTTGGCTAGGTTGGTCTTGAACTCCTGACCTCAGATACAATTGCCTCAGCCTCCCACAGTGCTGGAGTGCTGAGATTATAGGTGTGAGCCACCGTGCTGGGCCTCATGTATTTCTTTAGAGCCAAACACAGTGATGATAAGAATTCCCTCCACATGCTACCTGTCAGACTTCCAGTTAAAAGAGGCTAAGTTATAACCTAAAAAAAGCCTCTTTTAACACTCTAACCAAAAAAAAAAAGACTAAAGTAAATTTTAGAGTTTCATCAGCTGAGCCTTAGTGTTTAAACAGTCAAACAACATCATTAGGGACAACTTTTTTTTCTTTTTGAGATAGGGTCTCACTCTGCCCCCCAAGCTGGAGTGCACTGGGGTAATCACGGCTCACTGTAGCCTTGACTTCCCCAGGCTCAGGCGATCCTCCCACTTCTGCCTCCCAAGTAGCTGGGACTACAGTAATGTGCCACCATACTCGGATAATTTTTCGTAGAGAAAGGGTGTTTCAACATGTTCCCCGGGCTGGCCTTGAACTCCTGGGCTCAAGCGATCTGCCCACCTCAGCCTCTCAAAGTGTGGGGATTACAGGCGTGAGCCTCTGTACCCAGCCTAGAACAACTTTTGTAATGTATTATGATTCAGCTTTAAACACCGAGTTGCATTTAACAAGTGACTAAATGATTAGCCAGATAGCCAAAATTCATGGAAGTAACTCTGGCAAAGATTTCTTCTCCATAAACTTCTTGGAAAAACCTTAGTGCAGAAGCCACTATTGAACATTCACAGATTCAGAGTCAAAAAGAAAATTCATGGTCTTTTGAGGCTCTCCCCATGGAGGCATAGTGCAGAAACCATGATTTGGAGTGGGAAGGGAGCTTGCTCCATGGCAGGGAATCTTCATGATCTTCATGCAGCCATATAAACCCTAGTTCCTACAGAACGGTGAATTTCTTTGACCAGCCTTTAGTATCTTGCAGTATGACACCAATCTGTTATAAACTGCTCAAGTTTGTGTAATTTTTTGTGTGTATTCCCTCTCCCTCTTTTCCTTTTCCTGACCTATAGTCTTTCACTTCCAATTTTGTGGATATTTTAGGAGTAACAGATTTTTAAAGAAGAAAAAAAAAAAGACTGAATTTCTTGCTTACTCTGCATATACAGAATGGATTTTTTTTTTAAACAGCCATTTCCCCAAAGGAATGTGTCTTGCATATTACTGACATTTGGTATGTTTCATTCATTGGAATATTTCTTATTTTCTACGTGTTTCAAAAGGCTGTGAGAAATACAGGATTTGATAACATTTTGAAGGTAGAAAAAAACCAAAATTGTTTCTTCTTTGAGAGTCATGACTACCTTCTGGTGTGGAGAAATTGCCACTGAAAAGTTTGACAAGTTTGGTTTTCACTGGTATGTTTAAAAACTGAATAAAAGGAACAGAATTTTTCTTTTGATATAGGATCACAAAACAATTCTAAAACCTACTGTTTTTACCACTGAAATTTAAATTGTGACATAGATTTTAAATGTCTAGAATGCAACTGATAGGCTTTTCTTGAACTGTTAGTTTTTTTGAAGTAGAGTTCTTTCATGTTTAATTTGTATTTGTTTAAAAAAAACCAAAAAACAAAAAAATTCCCAACACCCAGATAAAAACCAGAGCAAAACTGTTGTGCCTTCTATTTATCTTTGATTTCAGTCTTGGCAATTGTTTAAAGAAAAATGGGAATTTAAAAAAAATCTAGATTTGTTTTATTAGGTTCAGAGTATGTGGGGAATTATAGAATCCATCTTTCACCACCTTGCATGCCTTCTGTTAACATATTTGTTATGCCTTATTCTAAAATTGAGTCTCAAACCAGAGTGCCTTTGAAGACAGATGCTTCTATAGAGGTTCTTTGACCTAAATGGTTCAGCATTTGTTTTAAGTTTTATTCTGGTATCTAATCAGATTCCTTCCTAATCATAGCTCATAAGATGGAATGTGACTTAAATATTGGACTTTGCTGATGTGCTCGTGTCTGCATTTTTTTTCTCTTTAAATCACAGCCATATGATTTTGTTTTCTATTTTGTTATGGTTCTCTTTTATTGATGGGCATGCAGTGGGTATTTCTTGGAAATGGCCACTTTTTATTAAAAATATTTCTGGAAGAGAAAAGTGTCATGGTCTTTCATCTATTGGATGGTTCAGAACTGTTGCTTCCTACCTCACATGGGCACTAAACAATACTCAGTGAACACCAACACTTTCCATGTCACTGAAATCTCAGGAAGCTAGAAAGCTTTCTCCAAGAAAAGAAAATAATTGGTTCTAAACTCTTAAAAAGAAATCCTGGCTGGGTGTAGTGACTTTTGCCTGTAATCCCAGCACTCTGGGAGGCTAAGATGGAAGGATTGCTGAGACCAGGAGTTCAAGACCAGCCTGGGTAACACAGTAAGACTCCATCTCTACAAAAATTTAAAACATTGGCTGAGCATAATGACGCATGACAATAGTACCAACTTCTTGGGAGGCTGAGGCAGGGGGACTCCTTGAGTCTGAGTTTGAGGCTGCTATGATTGAGCTATGATGGAGCCACTCCAGCATGGGTAACAGAGCAAGACCTTGCCTCAAAAAAATAAACTGAAAGAAATCCCTAGGAGTTTTATGATATGTGATCAATATGTATATTTTGATACAACTTACAATGAATTGTTAAAAAATTATCCTTAGTTGGCCGGGCACGGTGGCTCAAGCCTGTAATCCCAGCACTTTGGGAGGCCGAGGGGGGTGGATCACGAGGTCAAGAGATCGAGACCATCCTGGTCAACATGGTGAAACCCTGTCTCTACTAAAAATACAAAAAATTAGATGGGCTGGTGGCGCGTGCCTGTAATCCCAGCTACTCAGGAGGCTGAGGCAGGAGAATTGCCTGAACCCAGGAGGCGGAGGTTGCGGTGAGCCGAGATCGCGCCATTGCACTCCAGCCTGGGTAACAAGAGCGAAACTCCATTTCAAAAAAAAAAAAAAATTATCCTTAGTCTACTTGATTATAATTCTAGCTCAATTTCTGTCCATCAGTTAAACAAAAGTCACAATAAAGAATGGCTTTATTAGCTCCATTAGAGAGATATTTCAGTGAAATAAGTAGATTTAAATAGTTCACAATAATACACTGGGCCATTGGCTAATGCCTGTAACCACAGCACTTTGGGAGGCTAAGGCAGGAGGGTCACTTGAGGTCAGAAGTTTCAGACTAGCCTGGCCAACATGGCAAAACCCATCTCTACTAAAAATACAAAAATTAGCCAGGCATGGTGGTATGTGCTGTAATTTCAGCTATTCAGGTAGCTGAGGCACGAGACTCACTTGAACCCAGGAGGCTGAGGTTGCTGTGATCATGCCACTGCACTCAAGCCTGGATGACCAAAGCGGGACCCTGACTCAAAAGATAGATAAATAAATAAACAAATACTTCACCATAGTAAATATAAAGTAGTACAATCATAATTTACAGCTAATTATAAGCTTTAAATTTGTGCCAATTAAACCGCACTTGTATTCCCAGAAGGATACAGCAACTGAACAACTCTATGTAAATACACTGAGCACATGGAAAGTGTGGTATTTTCAGTTTTAGGACACTATTTCTAGATATTACATGAGGGACGAGCTCCAATAAAACAAATGTGTAAACCACACACATTACAAATACCAAGAATAATTACTTATTATTTTAAGAAAAATTTACTTGGCAGAGCATGGGGGCTCACGCCTGTAATCCCAGCACTTTGGGAGGCTGAGGTGGGTGGATCACCTGAGGTTAGGAGTTCGAGACCAGCCTGACCAACATGGTGAAACCCCATCTCTACCAAAAACATAAAATTAGCTGGGTGTGGTGGTGCATGCCTGTAATCCCCAGCTATTTGGGAGGGTGAGGCAGGAGAATCGCTTGAACCCAGGAGGTGGAGGTTGCAGTGAGCGGAGATTGCACTGTTGCACTCCAGATTGGGCAACAAGAGCGAAACACTGTCTCAAAATTAATAATAATAATCAATAAAGAAAAAACTACGTACAAGAGACAATATACTTACAAGAGATAGCAGCAAACTGAACAGGTCACCAACATGGTAATGATAACTCTAAAAAAAGGAAAAGAAAAATGTTATTAAATAACTAGCAAACTACACAAACATCACAGAATGGTTTAAGTCCCCTTTCCAAATTATCAAACTAGCATGGATTATGCACCAAGAAAATGGATCTGCATCTGCTCAAATATCCAGCAGACTGCAGTGTGCTCAAGATGCACCTGGGATAAGTTTATATAATCAAATATTTGCATTTAAAGAGATATGTGTTGATGCCATGGTATAGATGTCCAAACCAAATTTATCTGAAACTGAACAAGAAAGGCCACGGTGACAATTAGTTTTGACACCTAAGTAATTACCCTATTTGGTAGTATTCTCTGTAACGAAGTAACACTGTACTTCTAAAAATATGACTCTCTAGTGGTGAGCTCTTCCATCTTCATTCATGTCTGAAAGTTACTTTGATCTCTCATCAGCAAAGAGATCATTTCTAAACCTCAGTTATGCTATTCTCTTCCCATCTCTCTTTCTAAAAGCTCTCCTTCTAAATCTCCTACTCCTCAGAATAAGTTCTGCCATTTCCACCCATCCGACCCACCCTCAAATCCATCATCTTTTGCTCATGCCTCTTCTACACCTCCACAGTCACCAAATACTGTGAATTCATACTTCAAAGTATCTCTCCCCATGTGTATTTCCTTCTTCCCATTCCCACTGTCAGCAACAAAATTCACCTGGTTCTCCTGACTAAGTAACTGCTGGCAGAGTGAAACTTTTCTCCTTCTCCTTCAGTCTATAAACAATCACCAGGATTCTCCACTTAAGACCTGTCAGGGCCAGGTGCGGTGGCTCAAGCCTGTAATCCCAGCACTTTGGGAGGCCAAGACAGGCAGATCACCTGAGGTCAGGAGTTCAAGAACAGCCTCACCAACATCATGAAGCCACATCTCTACTAAAAGTACAAAAATTAGCCAGGCGTGGTGGCAGGTGCCTGTAATCCCAGCTACTCGGGAGGCTGAGGCAGGAGAATTACTTAAACTTGGGAGAGCAAGTGAGCCAAGATCACGCCATTGCACTCCAGCCTGGGTGATAGAGTAAGACCCTGTCTCAAGAAAAACAAAAAAAAAACTTTCGACGCCCCCCCGCCCCCGCCATCATCCATCATTTGGTTTCCAAGAGGCATGTCCACACCCTAAGAAGAACAAGACCATCTCCTAGAACTTGGGAACCAAATATTGTAACTCTTATTTTTTTAGAGACAGGATCTCTGTCACCAGGCTGGAGTGCAGTAGCATGATCATAGCTCCCTGTAATCTCCAAATCTTGGGCTCAAGTGATCCTCCCGCCTCAGCTTCCCAAGTAGCTAGGACTACTAGTGTGTACAACCAGGCCTGGCTAGTATTATGGGAGGGAGGAGTCTTGATATATTGACCAGGTTGTATTTGAACTCCTGGCCTCAAGTGATCCTCCTGCCTCAGCCTCCCAAAGTGCTAGGACTACTGGTGTGAGCCACCATGCCTGGCCCAGAACTCCTATTTTTATTTATTTTTAACTCATCCCCTAGAAGTTGTATGTGTGTGTGTGTGTGTGTGTGTGTATGTTTTGAGACAGTTTCACTGTGTCACCCAGGCTGGAGGGCAGTGGCACAATCTTGGCTCACTGCAAACTCCACCTCCCAGGTTCAAGCAATTCTCGTGCCTCAGCCCAAGTAGCTGGGATTATAGGCATGCACCACCACACCCGGCTGATTTTTGTATTTTTAGTAGAGATGGAGTTTGCCATGTTGCCCAGGCTGGTCTTGAACTCCTAGCCTCAAGCAATCCACCCACCTATGCCTCTCAAAGTGCTGGGATTACAGGCATGAGTCACTTCCTGTGTATTTTCTTTGATTAATATATTGGCACACTCATTTACTCATTCAACAGATTTTCACTCACTGAGTGTCCAGCATGTATTAGGCTCTGGGGAGACAACAGTAAACAAAATAGATAAAAACCCCTGCCTCAAAAAAAAAAAAAAAACAAAAAAAGAAAGAGAAAAAAAAAAAACCCTGCCTCATGAAGCTTATGTGCCACTGGCAGAGACAGACAACAAACAGGGTGAACACACAACAAACAACAATTATCCACCTATATATGCCAGATGGTCAGTAAGTGCTGATGGAGGAAAATAAGGCAGGAAAAAAGAGAGTCTATCAGGGCTTGGAGATTGTGGCTGAAATTTTAGAAGATGGTCAGGAAAAACCTTGCTGAGGAGGTGGCGTCTCTGCAGACCTGAACAAGGTGACGGAGCATTCCAGGCAGAATTAATCTGAAAGGCAGGGGGTGAGAAAGTACCTGGTGTTCAAAGAGGAAGGAGGTCTGTGTGGCTGAAGCAGAGAAAGGATCCTGGGGAAAGGTGAGGTCAAAGAGGTGCCCTGTGGCCTCTGAAAGGACTTCCACTCTTAAAAAGCTTTGACTCTGAGTGAAAAGAGAAATTATTTGGAGGGATTTAAGGAGAGGACTGATAAAATCTGATTCAAATTCTAATGGGATTTCTCTACTGGGATGAAAGAGACCGGGGAAAGAGGGGCAAAAAGAAAGCAGACATTGGGAGGCCAAGGCGGATGGATCACGAGGTCAAGAGATCGAGACCATCCTGGTCAACATGGTGAAACCCTGTCTCTACTAAAAATACAAAAATTAGCTGGGCATGGTGGCACACGCCTGTAGTCCCAGCTACTCGGCAGGCTGAGGCAGGAGAATTGCTTGAACCCAGGAGGCGGAGGTTGCGGTGAGCCGAGATCGCACCATTGCACTCCAGCCTGGGTAACAAGAGCGAAACTCAGTCTCAAAAAAAAGAAAAAAGAAAGCAGGCAAACCATTTGAGAGGAATTATAATAATCCAAGTAGATCAGGCTGGCAGCACTGATCAGTTAAGAGTTGGTCAGATTGTCTGAAATACATAATTTATATATTACACTTATAAAATATAAATATGTATGGGGGATTGTGCTAAATAAATTTTGACAGTCGCACAATAAAAACATTTGAAGACCTACAGAATCAAGTCCACCTCCTCACTTGTAACTCCCTCCAACCCATCCTTCTCACCTCTCCCTAAGTTCAAATATCAGTCCTTCATTCCTGAAGGCGCAGGTACCTTCAATGTCCCCCAAAACCTGTTATGTCTAGGATTCTCAATTCCAAGCTTTTATTCATCTTCCCCCATTCCGTGCCCCATTGTGGAATCTCTTCCCTGTCTTCTCTCTTCTCCAAAAGACCATCTCAGAGAACTGAAAGAGTTGAGGCTCCTTTGTATTGCCTGTTTAATATTAATAGTTACATATAAATGCTCCCTCATTGACGTGTCAGCTCCTAATGTGCTTGGTCTTAGAAGCTGCATGCTGAGTGGTGAAATGCCACAATAACTGCAATTTACTTTCAAATGGTTCAGCAGAATTATATATACACACACTCATGGATAAAGCAAATATAAATACATTGAACAATAACTGAATCTAGGTGGTGATATATGGCACTTATTGTACTACTCTTCCTACTTTTCTATATGTTTGAAAATATTCATGAAAAAAGGGGAGTTAGCTGGGCACATTGGCATGCCTGTAGCCTCAGCTACCTGGGAGGCTGAGATGGGAGGATCACTTGAGCCCAGGATATCAAGGGTGCATTGAGATATGATCACGCTACTGCACTCCAGGCCTGGACAACACAGGGAGACCCTTTAAAAAAAAAAACAGGCATGGTGGCTCACACCTGTAATCCTAGTACTTTGGGAGGCTGAGGCCAGGTGTTTAAGACCAACCTGGCCAACGCAGCGAGACCCCCATCTCTATTATTATTATTATTTTACTATTTTTTTTTATTTTTGAGATGGAGTCTCGATCTGTCGCCCAGGTTAGAGTGCAATGGCACAATCTCAGCTCACTGTAACCTCTGCCTCCCGGATTCAAGCAATTCTGCCTCAGCCTCCCAAGTAGCTGGGATTACAGGTACGCACTACCACACACAGCTAATTTTTGTATTTTTAATAAAGACAGGGTTTCACCATGTTGACCAGGATGGTCTCCATCTCCTGACCTTGTGATCTGCCTGCCTCAGACTCCCAAAGTGCTGGGATTACAGGCATGAGCCACCATGCCTGGCCAAGACCCTGTTTTGAAAAATAAATTAAAAAAATCTTCAGCCAGGCATGGTGGCTCACACCTGTAATCCCAGTACTTTGGGAGGCTGAGGGCGGCTCACCTGAGGTCAGAAGTTCGAGACCAGCCTTGCTAATATGGCGAAACCCTGTCTCTACTAAAAAATACAAAAATCAGCCTGCATGGTAGCACGTACCTGTAATTCCAGGTACTCAGGAGGCTGAGGCAGGAGAACTGCTTGAGCCCAGGAGGCGGAGGTTGTAGTAAGCCAAGATGGTGCCATTGCACTTCAGCCTGGGCGACAGAGTGAGACTCTGTTAAAAAAAAAAATTCATTAAGGAGATAAATAAAGGAACCCTTTGAGGAGGAAAGAAGGGAGAAAAGCAGACACATCTGATGTTAAATTCTCTTCCCCAAGAGACCCCTGCACACCAGAATGCTGAAAGTTGGGTGATTAGGAGGTTACAGGACCTGATGAGGCAGTGAAAAGAAAGGGCAGAAGGGAATTTTTTTGAGAAAGGGGTCTCACTCGGTTGCCTAGGCTAGATAGCTCACTGTAGCCTCGGTGGAGGTTCAAGCAATCCTGAGCTCAATTCTGAGCTCAAACAATCCACCTGCCCAGCTTCTTGAGTAGCAGGGACCAGAGGTGTATACCACCATGCCTAGGTAATTTTTAAAAGATTGTTTTTGTAGACACCAGGTCTCACTTTATTGCCCAGGCTGGTCTTGATTTTCTGGCTTCAAGTGATCCTCCTACTTTGGCCTCCCAAAGTGCTGGCGTGAGCCACCATGTCAGGCCCATTTTTATTTTTTGAAGATATTTTCCATCATTTAAATCAGAAATGCTCTCCTGTATTAAAAATTCACCAAAGCCAGGTGCAGTGGCTTGAACCTGTTATCCCAGCACAAACAAACAAACAGATTTTCAGTATTTTCAAGAGGTAAAGGGGAAGTAGGACAATTCAACACTAATATTCCCTTTAAAAAAAAAAATCCCCAGGAAAACAAAATCCCCACAGAAAAACATATTTCCATTTTAAAATGAGGAAATGAGAACATGGAAAAGTTAACTAAATTGTGCACTCATATTTCCTTTTTTAAAAAATCCCTACAGAAAAGCATATTGCCATTTTAAAATGAGGAAATGGGAATATGAAAAAGTTAACTGAATTGTTCAAGGTCACAAGGATCATCAACCTACGTGCAGTGCTTCTCAAAATGTATTATAGCAACTCCTCCTAGGAGAGACACTGTTCCTAGACCTGCTTGATCCAGCCAAGAGCAGGAAATGCAAGAACTGCAGCAGAGACTGTGAACTGGGCCCAGATAATACAGAACTTGGCAATGGACACATAATGACCTTTCAGTCAACAACTGCCTAAATGACAGGTGGTCCATAAGATTATAACAGAGCTGAAAAATTCCTATTGCCCAGTGATATTTTGATGATCCTGAACCTGTGTAGGCATAGCAATGTGTGTTTAACTTTTTTGTTAAAAACCAAAACACAAACACACATAGCAAACAAAATATGTGTGTTTGTGTTTTGGTTTTTAACAAAAAAGTTAAAAAAGTTAAACAAAAATTTAAGTGGAAAAAAACTTACAGGATAGGATATAACGAAAAAAAAATGAGTTGGGTGAGGTGGCTCATGCTTGTAATCCCAGCACTTTGGGAGGTCAAGGTGGGAGGACTGCTTGAGGCCATGAGCTGGAGACCAGCCTGGGAAACAAAGCGAGACCCTGTCTCAAAACAACAACAAATTAGCTGGGTGTAGTGATGCACGCCTATAGTCCTATCTAGTGGGAGGCTGAGGTGGATGGATCCCTTGAGCCTTGGCAAGGCTGTAGTGAGCTATGATGGAGCCACTGCACTCCAGACTGGGTGACAAAGACTCTCTGTCTCTTTAAAAAAAAATCATACAGCTGTACAATGTGTGTCTGTGTTTTGATCTGTTCTCAAATATTCTTACATGTACAATGTACAACAGGCTCCAGGACAACACTTCATTCTGACTACAAGTGGCAAAAGATGTTATAGCAGGGGGCCGTGTGTAGCAGCTCACACCTGTAGTCCCAGCACTTTGGGAGGCTGAGGCACGCAGATCACTTGAGGTCGAGTTCAAGACCAGCCTGGCCAACATGGTAAAACCCCATCTCTACTAAAAATACAAAAATTAGCCAGGTGTGATGGTAGGCACCCTCCCACCTACTCGGAAAGCTGAGGCAGGAGAATTGCTTGAATCCGGGAGGCAGAGGTTGCAGTAAGCAAGATTGTGTCACTGCACTCTAGCCCGAGTGACAGAGTGAGAGTCCATGTCAAAAAAAAAAAAAAAGATGTTATAGCAGGTAATCCAGATGTTTAAATACAAATGGAATCAAGGGTCACTGTCGACTGCCTCAGGCACATGGAATAGCTTGCTTTTTGCCAGATTTCTTAATTCTACTTATGGCCAAGGGCCTCTTCCCTGTGGCCTTTGCCTTTAGATCCTCCAGTTTCATCTACTCTTTTTGTTTAAAAAACTTATCTTCCACATCAATCTCCTTGGCCTGCTTCTTGGGCTGTTTCCGGGGCTTCTTCCTGCCACCTATGAAGGTGGACATAGCACCTGCAGCCTCCTTCCCAGACTCTGCCACTGGACTTGTTTCATTTTTGAAGAGAGTATCTCACTGTTGCCCAGGCTGGGGTACAGTGGTATGATCATAGCTTACTGCAACCTGGAACTCTTGGTCTCAAACATTCCTCCTCCCTCAGCCTCCCCAGTAGCTAGGACCACAGGCATGAACCAGCATGCCCAACTAATTAAAAAAAATTTTTTTTTAGAGATAGGGTCTCACTATGTTGCTCAGGCTGGTCTCAAGCAATCCTCTTGTCTGGCCTCTCAAAGTGCTGCATATTACGGTATGAGCCACCATGCCTAGCCTTGCTTGTGTTTTAAGCCAAGTGTTACTATAAAAGAGTCAAAAGTTAAAAAGAATTCAAAAGCTTAAGTAAAAAAGTTACAGGAAGCTGGCCGGGTGCGGTGGCTCACGCCTGTAATCCCAGCACTTCAAGAGGCCGAGGTGGGTGGATCTCGAAATTAAGAGATAGAGACCATCCTGGCCAACATGGTGAAACCCTGTCTCTACTAAAAATACAAAATTAGCTGGAGATGGTGGCGTGTGCCTGTAATCCTAGCTACTTGGGATGCTGAAGCAGGAGAATCACATGAACCCAAGAGGCAGAGGTTGCAGTGAGCCAAGAGTGCGCCACTGCACTCTGGCCTGGCGACAGAACGAGACTCCATCACAAAAAAAAAAAAAAAAAAAGAAAAAAAGTTACAGGAAGCTAAGAAGTTACAGGAAGTTACAGGAAGCTATTCTTCTTTTTGAAGAAAGAAAAATATTTTTTCAGAAATTTCATGTAGCCTAAGTGTACAGTGTTTCTAGAGTCCACCATGGTATACAGCAATGTCTTGGTCTTTCACATTCATTCACCACGCACTGACTCACCCACAGCAACTTCCGGTCCTGCCAGCTCCATTCATGGTAAGTGCCCTATATAGGTGGACCATTTTAAGTGTTTGATGTGTATTTTTACTGTACCTTTTCTATGTTTAGATACACAAATACCATTGTGTTCCAACTATATAGGCAGTTGTAACACAGTGGTATTTGCGTATTTAGGACAATAACATGTTGAACAGGTTTGTAGACTAGAAGCAATAGGTTCTACCATATAGCCTAGGTGTATACCATGTATTTGTGTAAGTACACTCTTTGTTGTTCACACAAAAGCCCTAACAACACATTCTTCAGAATGTATCTTTTGTAAAGTGACACATCTATATATCACTTGTTGGTCAAACACCTGAATCAATGACACTCATTAGGGCTAGAAACTGAGTGGAAACAGGATGGGTTTCATTACCCTGGATAAGAGCAATGACATCCCAAGGAAGGGGAGAGGGTGGTCTTTAAGAAAGAAATTGTCAGTGTTATTAGTACATTAATAAATGCTCTTCTGAGTACAAAGCCAGAAAGGCAGACAGTAGGGTAATGAAACAGTGGAAGATATAAACACAACAAAGGAACACTTTGTTGTTCTCTAACTCCAGTAGAAAAACAAGTCTAATTAAATTCGGGAAATACAATTGCTTTAATAATGCCAGAATTCTGACTCTGCCCATCAACCTCCAGAGGTAGGAGTGATGACCCCATATAACTGGTGTTACCAAGGAGGAGGAATTTGATACTTAAAAACGATAAAAATTCATCTACCATTTTTCCCTTTTTTAAAAAAAATATGTAATTTATTTTAGACTAATAAATCAAGTGTATTCAGGGAGCAAAAGGGGTTCAGGTCACAAAATATTAAGGAAGTAATAGAAATCTTTTTCTTTTAATAAAGACAATAGAAGTATCCACTCAACAGGTATTTACTGGGTGCCTCCGGTGCATACAAGGTACTGTGAAAACCAGGCACTATGAAGCCACCAGTTAGGTCCAAGGAATGAAGCAACAGATCGATGTTTCTGACAAACTGACTTCAGTTGAAGTTGTACTTCTCATGATCTTGAGCTGAGAAAAAATGACTAAAAAGGAAAAGAGGAACCAGAAAGAGGGTGTTTCAAGGCTCCTTTGAAGATAACCCTCTATTTTACACTACAGTTAAAAAGTTTAATTCCAAAATAGACAGAGCTCTCTAATCAACAAAGAAGTCTGGGGAAAAAAAATCTTTTTTAGCCAATCATTCTAAGCACTTCTTATACTCACATACAAGAGCCGGAGCGCCCTCCAAAAGGTATGACGCAGGGGTTTCTCAACAATACCTCCTGCTCTTTGGTAATTAATCTCGCTTTAGATCAGGCCCCAACTACCTCCTGGCGCCCACTAGATGCAAGGCCTGGGCTCAATGTTGTGGAACAAGCTTGTTCTGTAGGCAACGGCGACAGCATGGGAGGCAAAGAGGACAATCTGTTTTACTTATTTGATCCTTTTCTTAAGTTCAGGCAACAGAGGCCTCCTGTGGGTGAAAGGCAGGGCTAAAGGGAGACAGTCGACTTGGGACAAACCCCAGTTTCTCCCAGATTCGGCCTGCTCATTTCTGACTGCACCTCCCCACCCAGGACAATGATAAGAAAAAAAACTCCCCTGAAAGTCGTTTCCAACTAGGGTCCGCCAAAGGTCACCCTCCTGAGTGTCCTCCACTCGCTCAGGTCGGAGGACTCTGAAGCTGCTGCGAAAAGGAACACAAGGAGCTCCGCCGCGTCGGGGGCCTGACTCTGGAGTGCAGGCGGTGCCCCTGCCAGGTTCTCAGACCCGTCTGGGGGTCGTGTCCTTCCCCGCCAGCCCTCTCCTCACCGCGCGTCCCTCCCAACGCGGACCTCGCGCACTTACCCCCGGTTAGGACCTTTAGGGATGAACCAAGGCACCAAGAAGCCGACGAAGCCCCAGAACACGCTCATCACAATGAGAGGCACCGTGAGGCCGTGATACGCCATGGTCGCCGCCTGAGCGCCAGCCCCTACCCCGCAGCCTCACTCGGTCTCACCCGGAAGTGTCAACAGCGAACCGCGTGACCAGCGTGCGGAAGCCCCGCCTCCCGAGCACCCTCGTGACCCGCGCGCCAGCCTCCATCCCTCCGGGAGCCCAGGCAGAGCCCCGCCCTCGCCTGGCTGACTCCCCGCCGCAGCTCCTTAGAGGCACGTCTCTCACCCCAGAGCTAGGGGTTCGGTCACGAGGGGCTTAGCAAAGTGTTCTGATGAGAACTTGGCCCTTTTAGACAGTCTCATCTACTTGTGCAACAGACATAAAGAGAACTTAACAATAGTAACTTACTATTCTAAATTCCCTGTGCCTGGCACTGGGCCATGATGTTTAAGTGCATGAGCCCACGGCCGGGTGCGGTGGCTCACACCTGTAATCCCAGCACTTTAGGAGGCTGAGGCGGGTGGATCACTTGAGGTCAGGAGATCAAGACCAGCCTGGCCAAAATGGCAAAACCCTGTCTCTACTAAAGATGCAAAAATTAGCTGGGTGTGGTTGTGCCCGCCTGTGGTCGCAGCTACTCAGGAGGCTGAGGCAGGAGAATCGCTTGAATCCGGGAGGCGGAGGTTGCAGTGAGCCAAGATTGCACCACTGCACTCCAGCCTGGGCAACAAAGCAAGACTCTGTCTCAAAAAAAAAAAAAAAGTGCATGAGCTGGTGTTGAACTCCTCACTTCAGCCTATGAAGTAATTATAATTATTATCCCCACTTTGCAGTTGAAGAAACTGAGGCCCAGGGAGGAGGCTAAGGATATTGCCAAAAGTCACATTGAATCCTGGCAGTGCCAGGATTCAACCTCTGATGATCTGATTTTCAAGGCCAGAGCTCTTAACTACTGCACCACTGTATATCTTGTGTACTGTGCCAGGTTCTAGAATTACAGAAGTCAGTCAGGCACCCCTGAGGGAGTTCACATTCTAGGGAACTGATGACTTGCAAACAGGCCACTCAATGCAGTGTGAAAGTAAGTGGATGACCAGACAAGGCTTTCCACCCAACTAGTCCTCAGCTGAGCCTTGAAAGACAAGTAGAAATTAGCCAGAATAGTAAAAAAAAAAAAAAACAGGAAAGGCATGGTGGCTCACCTGTAATCCCAGCACTTTGGGAGGCTGATGGGGTCAGTAGTTGGAGACTAGCCTAGGCAACATGGTGAAATACCATCTCTATTAAAAATTCAAAAATTGGGCTGGGCGCGGTGGCTCACGCCTGTAATCCCAGCACATTGGGAGGCCGAGGCGGGCGGATCACGAGGTCAAGAGATTGAGACCATCCTGGCCATCATGGTGAAACCCCATCTCTACTAAAAATACAAAAAAAATTAGCCAGGCATGGTGGCACGTGCCTGTGGTCCCAGCTACTTGGGAGGCTGAGGTGGAAAAATCGCTTGAACCCAGGAGGCGGAGGTTGCAGTGAGCTGAGACTGCATCACTGCACTCCAGCCTGGGATACATAGTGAGACTCCACCTCAAAAAAAAAAAAAAAAAAAAAGGTAAAATGGGTTTTTTTTGTTGTTGTTTTTTGAGCTAGGGCCGTGCTCTGTCACCCAGGCTGGAATTCAGTGGTGTTCCATAGCTCACTGCAGCCTGGAACTCCTGGGCTCAAGCCATCCTCCTGCCTCAGCCTCCTGAGGAACTGGGGCTACAGTTGTGCACCACCACATCTGGCTAATTTTTTAAATATTTTGTAGAGAGAGAGCCTCATGATGTTACCAAGGCAACTCTTGGCCTGAAAGGATCCTCTACCTCAGCCTCCCAAAGTGCTGGGATTACTGGTATAAACCACTGTGCTCAGCTGATAAACAGAGCTTATAACACTTGCTGAGAATTTTCACATAATATTAATTATAGTATGTGCCAAGCTTGGAATAGACAGGGAAGCAGGTTCTTAGAGAGGTTGAGGAGCTTGATAAAGCCTACAAGTGAAAGCAAGATAGAAAGCAGGTCTATAAATGCCATGTCCTTTACCAGGGGCCATGGTTTCCTTGCAGTAGCCACATTGCATTACCTCCTGATTACTTTCATTAAGTAGAATGGATTCCTGTATTAAATGAGAAACTGGACCAATACTCTTCAACGTCTGTACCAACTTTTCAGATATGATTCTAATCCTCTAACCCGATCAGCAATGTAGGAAACTAGCTGGTCTCCTTGTGCTCACAGTGCTTCCCCAAAACTTAGCCCCAGCAGAAATCCTATGGTCCTTAAGTTCTAGTCCAAGCACTGCCTTCTCCAAGACCCGTTTCCTCCTGTTAGCACGTCTCTTTGGCTCTGTTGTATATGTATCTTGACTGACCCTCTACTAGAGGGCCAACTCCTTGAGAATAGGCTCTGTTTCACTGATCTTTGTTTCTGGAAGCACTTTCTTCATATAATGTGATCGGTAAGTAATTGTGCAACTGAATTGAGTAGTTAAGGATGAGATCAGTCAGAACAAACTCAGAGAAAGAAGTTTACTCCCACTTTCCTCTTCCTTTCTTTCTTCCTTTTTTCTTCTTTCCTTTTCTTTTTTTGTTGTTTTTGAGATGTAATCTTGCTTTGTCACCCAAGTTGGAGTGCAGTGGCACGATGCTGGCTTACTGCAACCTCCACCTCCCATGTTCAAGCAATTCTCCTGCCTCAGCCTCCCGAGTAGCTGGGATTAAAGGCATACACCACCACGCCAGGCTAATTTTTTATTTTTTATTTTTAGAAGAGATGGGGTTTCACCATGGTCAGGCTGCTCTCAAACTCCTGACCTCAAGTGATCCACCTGCCTCGGCCTCCCAAAGTGCTGGAATAATAGGCATGAACCACTGCACCAGACCCCTTTCTTTCTTCTTCTTCTTCTTTTTTTGAGACGGAGTTATGCTCTTCTTGCCCAATCTGTAGTGCAATGGCGTGACCTCGGCTCACTGCAATCTCTGCCTCCCGGGTTCAAGCAATTCTCCTGCCTCAGCCTCCCAAGTAGCTGGGATTATAAGCATGTACCACCATGCCCAGCTAATTTTGTATTTTTAGTAGAGATGGGGTTTTACCATGTTGGTCAGGCTGGTCTCTAACTCCTGACCTCAAGTGATCTGTCCACCTCAGCCTCCCAAAGTGCTGGGATCACAGGCGTGAGCCACTGCGCCCGACCACGCCAGGTCACGCCAGGCCCCTTTCTTTCCTTCTTTTTTTTTTTTTTTTTTGAGACAGTTTCCTTCTGTCACCCAGGCTGGAATATAGTGGTGCAATCATAGCTTACTATAGCCTTGAATTCCTGGGCTCAAGGGATCTTCCCAAATCAGCCTCCAGAGTAGCTAGGACTACAGGTGCATGCCCCCATGCTGGCCTGAGAGATAGATAGATAGAAGGAGAGAGAGAGAGAGTTAGAGATGGGGTTTCACCATGTTTCCCAAGCTGGTCTCGAACTCCTGCCTCAAGGGACCCTCGTGTGTGTGTGTGCGTGTGTGCGTGCGCGTGTGTATGTGTAGAGATGGGGTGTCACCATTTTGCCCAGGCTGGTCTCGAACTCCTGCCTCAAGGGATCCTACTCCCTCTGCCTCCCAAAGTGCTGAGATTACAGATATAACGTGCTGTGCCCAGGCCCTTTCCTTTTAATAATGGTAAAACATAGGTAACATAAAATGTACTATCTTAGCCTTTTTATTATTATTATTTTTAATTTTGAGACAGGGTCTTGCTCTTACCCAGGCTGAGTGCAGTGGTGTGATCTCAGCTCACTGCAACCTCTGCCTCCTAGGTTCAAATGATTCTCCTGTCTCAGGCTCCCTAGTAGCTGGGACTATTGGCATGCACCACCACCAGCTAATTTTTGTAATTTTAGAGGAGACAAGGTTTTGCTATGTTGGCCAAGCTGTTCTCAAACTCCTGACCTTAGGTGATCCACCTGCCTCGGCCTCCCTAAGTGTTAGGATTACAGGCGTGAGCCACCACACCCGGTCTCTTAACTTTTTAAAAGTGTACATTAAGTGTATTCACATTGTTGTGTAACCAATCTTTATAACCTTTTTTTTTTTTTTTAAGACAGGGTTTCACCATGTTGGCCAGGCTGATCTTGAACTCCCGACCTCAGGTGATCCGCCCACCTTGGCCTCCAAAGTGCTTGGATTATAGGCTTGAGCCACCACACCTGGCCAATCTTTAGAACTTTTTTTCTTCTTTCTTCCTTTCTTTAAAACTTTATTTTGAGACAGGTTCTTACTTCATCACCCAGGCTGGAGTGCAGTGGCATGATCATGGCTCACTGCCTTTTCGAGGTTCAGGTGATCCTCCCACTTCAGCCTCCCAGTAGCTGGGACTATAGGCATGCAGTAGCATGCCCTGCTAATTTTTTGTATTTTTTGTGGAGATGGGGTTAAACCATGTTGCTCCAGCTGGTCTCAAACTCTTTAGCTCAAGTCATCTGCCCGACTAGGCTTCCCAAAGTGTTGAGATTATAGGCATGAGCTACTGTGCCCAGCCCAGAACTTTTTCATATCCCTTAAACAACCACTTCTGGACAAGTGCAGTGGTGAGACCCCCATCTCTACAAAAAATTTAAACAAAAGTTAGCTGGGCATGTTGGTGCATGCCGGTAGTCCCAGCTACTGTGGAGGCTGAGGTGGGAGGATTGCTTGAGCAGAAGGTCACGCCACTGCACTTCAGCCTGGGTGACAAAGTAAGACTCTATCTCAAAAAACAAACAAACCACCACCACCACCACCACCAACATAAAACCAACCACCTCCCCTAGCCCACGGCAAACACCATTCTACTTTCTGTCTCTATGAGTTTGACTACTCTAGGTTTCTTCAAGAGGAATCATACAGCATTTGTCCTTTTGTGGCTGGCTTTCACTTAATATAACATCCTTAAGATTCATCCATGCTGTGCAAGTGTCAGACTGTCCCCTTTGTTTTTAAGGCTGAATAATATTCCAAATATGTATATAGCACATTTTGTTTATCTGATCATCCATCAATGGACATTGGGTTGCTTACACTTTTTGGCTATTGTGAATTCTTTCCCATTTCTTAAACATAGCAAATATTTTGTCTTGAATTGATCCCTTTGAGTGTCTA